TCCCCTGAATATGACAACCAGAATAAGGTCATCCAAGTTGGTGGGTGACTCCGTCGGGCATCAGTGCTGAATGCTGATGCCAAGCACCCGATAGTGCTAGACCCCAAACACCCAATTACTCGTCTGCTCAGTCCAAGAGGCGGTGCCGACATGGTCCTTGCTGACCTACGACGTCGTTTCTGGCTGCTGCGGTGGGGGGGGGGGGGGGGGGGACACTCTATCCGAAGCCTGCAAAGTCACTGTGAAGGCTGCATCAGGCGACGTGGAAAGCCCTCCTTTCCCAAGATGACAGATTTGCCAACAGCCCGACTCCGCTTTAACAAACCTGCCTTTTATTCCACAGGAGTCGATGGTTTTGGCCCATTCAAGGTTTCTATTGGCCAAAGGACTGAACAGAGATGGGGAATCCTTTGGAAGTGTATGACCACCCGAGCAGTCTATCTTGATCTACTTGACTCCCTTGATGCTGATGCCTTCCTGATGGCATTTAACCATTTCCGTTGCTGGAGAGGTGCTCCATATGAGATCCTGTGTGACAATAGAACCAATTTCAAGGGAGGATTGACAGAGTTGACAAAGGCCTTCAGTGAGATGACGCCTAGCTTGCAGGAAAAGCTTGGAAAGTACAAAGTCCGATTCCAGTTCAACCCACCCGCAGCTCCTCACTTTGGTGGAACTTGGGGAAGGGAAGTGCGCTCAGTGAAGACAGCGCTATCTGCCATCCTTGGTAACCGGACTGTATCTACCTCTGTCCTGTACACCAGTTTGGTTGAGGTGGAAGCACGTACTCCTCAACTCAAAACCTTTGGGGTATGTGTCCTCCGATGTTGCAGACCCTTATCCAATCACCCCATTCGTGCTGCTTATGGGGCGGCGGGACCATGCTCCACCCCAGGTCATTTATCTATAGCAGTATGTCCATGGTCGTCGTCATTGGCGCCATGTCAGGCTTGATGCAGCAGTTTTGGAGGGAGTTCGTTAGCTCGTATCTTGGCCCGCTATGCAAGCCCGCCAGAAGTGGCAAGGTGAGATGCAGGATATGGCAGTGGGTAATGTGGTCCTGATGATAGACCCACAGCAGATCCGAGCTTCCTGGCCCTAAGCTTGGCCCGGGTAACTGGGGTTCTAGGGGTGATGGGCATGTACGTGCAGTGAAGGTAGAGACTGGTGGTCGTGTCTACACCCGTCCAGTTTCCAGACTGATCCGGCTGCCAGATGAAACACAAGGTCCAGCTGAAGGAGCTGACCCAGTCCTACATAACCTAGACTAATACAACATGTAGTTGTGACCTTGTTGTTCTTTACCCTTCCCTTGTTCATGGGGCGGCCATGTTGTTAATGTTTCTCTACTGTGTGGAGTGTTCCTGTTACTTAACCTTTAACTGTTCTTATACTCCAGTGTTCTTTACCTTACCTTACCTTGCCTTACCTTACCTTACCTTTCGCCTGTAGCAAGTAAACTGTTGCACACAGTTTAGGGGCGGCTGTGTTGCAAAACCGCTAAGCGTGAAGGGCGCCCTCTAGAAGCCAACCGCTCATCACCGCGCAGACCATGCTTTAGAAAATGTTGCTGGGTTGGAACGGGTGGTATGATTTGTTGACTCATTTGTTCTAATTACGTGATTTTAGCAGATTCATATGATTATTAGTATTCGTTTCCTGATCAACCAATTATCCTAGACCATATATCTAAGCATTTTTGTTGCCGAATTAATAGATAAATAGGGGTACACTCGCCAAGGTGTCGGAAATAGACGCATATCCATATGTTCTCGTCCTGCATCGCATTTATGAGACTCGCCGTTGCAGAACAGTTCCAATTTGTTACTTGATGTATTTCCTTTCCCTTTGTTTGTAATCTAAAAGACCAAACTTCTGAACAAATTTCCGAACGAACTTCCGAACGAACTTCCGAACGAACTTCCGAACGAACTTCCGAACGAACTTCCAAACGAACTTCCAAACGAACTTCCAAATGGTTCATCCGCCAACCCCTGCAATATGAAATCCTAATTGTATTAACGTCAATACTGTCGGAGGAGAAATTGAATAAAATATGCAAATTGGACAGGCAACGTACCTTGGATATTGTTTCCCTTAATATTCAACACAGACAGAAAAGTACAAACTATAGGCGTACTTTAGTAACATTCATTGCTAGGCCTATCTCCGAAATCTGCAGCCCACATGACTTGCATACTGCGCTGTGCTACTTCTGTCCATTAGCGAAATATTCCTTGTGATCTTTAAACCCCCAAGATATAATTTCTGACGAAGAAGACATATACAGTACGTCTGGATCGAACTCGCGCCATGCGCCAGAGAATGTGACAGGTTTCCAACAAAGAGTGATGCGCACAACCTCTTCCCCATGGATACGATCTTTCCACGCCTTAGTTAGAAAATGCCTCCTGTGATGAACGCTCATGCAGCCCATGGAAAGAAGGTTGCGATTTATTTCACTGATATTCTTGTAGTATTCAGTAGGAATAGGGCAGTAAAAATGTGCGCCAGTGATACTGCGAGCGCTGCCAATACCCATTCACGAATACTCGATTTAGAGTCGACAAAGAATACGGCGCAATACTTTCATCATTTTCATATACACTCGGTGAAATTTTTGGTCAAAGTCTGGAAAAAGTTTTGGAAAAAATCTGAATTTTCTTTTCGAGTACTGCGCGACTGGGATCGAGTTCACCGAGTACAATTTGTCGAGTTCAGGAACGAGTCCGAGCACTAAATTTGGAGTACATGCCAAGTACTTGTTTTTTTCGAGTACTAATGATCGAGTACGGGCCAAGTTCTTATTGGTACTCGAGTAGTTCGTGTACGAGTACTCCAACACTGGTTGGAACTATATTAACACATTCCTATTAAGGCGAGTGGTGCTTTGACTTTTTTGTTTCCTTTTTTGGTTTAAATTAATCAAGCCAAATTCCCAAGCCAATGTCACCGATTATAAAAAAGGGAACGATATCTACTTATGGTGTGATCTCTTTTTTTTTCTGAAATATCTTGCAGACCTACATGTATTGATCACATCGTCTTCACTTACTGCGGACTGAGACTGAAGGGCGGGCAGATACAACTGAGCCGTGGTGAGTGTATTTCAAGAAACTGAAATCTAAGCAAATGACATTAAAACATGAATTGGAACTAACTACATGTACACTGAAGTCAATCAGAAACAACAATAACACTTTTATAACTTCAACAAGGCCCATGCAGCCTAAATAAAGGGACTGTTTTACCGCCCTGGGCCCAATTTCATGGAATCCGTAAGCGTACGCGGGGAATCGGCGCTAACGGTAGCAAAAAATTTACGCTTACTGTAAGCGCATTTCATGGGCGCAAAATTTATTTGCTACGGTTAGCACGAACTGTATAGCCACTGCGCATGCGTATTAGTGAGAAGTGTTTGAAAGTAAATAAACTGCGGCTTAAATAGGCAAAGTCGTCTGCTACATATTTGTCGTGTGCAAACTTGAAAATGAGCAACGAAAATGAGACAAAAAAGAGGAGGGGAGCACCCTTCACTCCTGAAATTGATGTAACACTAGCTACCTCTTATAGAGGGAAAAAAGTATAATAGAAGGACCTTTCCCCCAAATTTAACACGGTCTGAGGCCTAAACCTATACATGTACCTAGCCCAAATCTGTGCTGGAGAGAAAATTTCCAGGGGATTTTGCCGATCTCGCAGTTAGTACTCGCGGTCGGCGGTAATTGCAACGACCGCGGCAATGTCTTCTTCGACGAATAATTGCCATTTTCCCACTGTTTAGCACAAAATATCAGCCTTAAGCGCAGAAATTCTGCGCTAACTTTTTAAGCACAAAATCTCTGCTTACAGAATCCATGAAATAGATCTGCGCTTAGGGCACCCATAAGCGCAGAATTCCATGCTTACGGATTCCATGAAATTGGGACCTGAATCCTTCAAAATCCTCTTTGACAAAATGGAGGAATTTGGAGGATTGATGGCAGAATTGCTCTACTGATTTTGTAGGATGCACTTTAATTGTCAAGATCTTGGGCCGAAACCTTGTGATGTTTTTGCTCAGCCATGCATAGCCTGGATTATGCTTAAAATCTTCTGTACTGCCATAGGATTTCACTGGCCAAGCCTCAACATATTGACAGTCACTGCCGCAGGATTTTGCAGGATTCAGGCAGTGGTGACCCCTCAACACACCATATTCAAGAAAAAATTGAGAAACTTGCAGGATTGAGGCTATATGCTATTTTTCCATGAGGCTAGTTGGAGGATTTTGATTGAGGGTTAATAGATGAGTGCTCCCTGCCTTCATAGAGTAGGAATGACTGGTTGTGATTGTTATGAAACCTAGCTTTACAATGTACTTTGACTGTACAGAGATTGTTAAGCCAGCTGCGCCTTGCAAGTTGAACTTGCTTTTGTCTGTTGATGTCAATTGGACTAGTCACTCGGACGCCCTTTGAAAGTACGCTTTGACTGTTGGTGTCTAGCCTGAGTAATTAGAAACTTGGCAACTAGGGGAACAAGATTGAATTTTTTACAGTCTATGACTGATCGAAGAAAAGCATTCAGTATTCATTCAGTGCACACGAAACACATTATAAATAGGATCAAAAGTATATGGTAAAGCAGCATTTTAAATGTAGTAGTAAAATCAGTATGTTTCTTTTTGTTTGTGTTTTCCCACACAGTCTTCTGGGGACGACAAGCGCACTGAAGTTCCGTCTGGAATCAAAAGATTTTGAATCAATCAAGGAAGGCATCTTAAGTTGCGTCACATCCAGCCCATGTGATGATGCTTTCATAGTCTGCAGCATTCTGTAAAGACTGACAGCTGCTGAAGTTGAGGCAATTTTTAGTATGCCGTCAAGATACGCACTTCAAAACATAGGACAAAAAGTTTGATGTGATCTTTCTGTAACAAAACCTTTTGATCAAGTTCTGGGCTGAATCAGCACCAAATGAGGCCCACTTGTGGGAAACCATTTGCTTCTGAAGTCTATGATAAAGCCTTTTCTGACTGAAGAAATCTACAAACATGTTGCTCTCCATTAAGAAACCATTTGTTTGTGAGACCTGTGGTAAAGCTTTTACAAGTCATGGTTATCTACGCATACATGACAGGGTGCACACTGGCGAGAAACCGTACGTTTGTGAGAACTGTGGAAAAGCCTTCACACAGAAAGGTAGCCTACACACTCATGCGAGAGTACACACGGGTGAGAAATTATTTGTTTGTGAATCCTGTGGTAAAGCCTTCACTGATCAACGCAGTCTACACATACATGACAGGGTACACACTGGTGAGAAACCATTTGTTTGTGAGACATGTGGTAAAGCCTTTACTGACAAAAGTAATCTGCGCCAACATGACATGGTACACTCCGGTGAGAAACCATTTGTTTGTGAGATCTGCAGTAAAGCCTTTTCTACACGAGGTGGTTTAAATAGACACAACAGGATGCACACTGGTGAGAAACCATTTGTTTGTAAAACCTGTGGTAAAGCTTTTACAAGTCATGGTTATCTACGCATACATGACAGGGTGCACACTGGTGAGAAACCGTACGTTTGTGAGACCTGTGGTAAAGCCTTTTCTGACAAAAGTACTCTAGGCAGTCATAATAGGGTCCACACTGGCGAGAAACCATTTGTTTGTAAAACCTGTGGTAAAGCTTTTACAAGTCATGGTTATCTACGCATACATGACAGGGTGCACACTGGTGAGAAACCGTACGTTTGTGAGACCTGTGGTAAAGCCTTTTCTGACAAAAGTACTCTAGGCAGTCATAATAGGGTCCACACTGGCGAGAAACCATTTGTTTGTAAAACCTGTGGTAAAGCTTTTACAAGTCATGGTTATCTACGCATACATGACAGGGTGCACACTGGTGAGAAACCGTACGTTTGTGAGGCCTGTGGAAAAGCCTTTACACGGAAAGGTATCCTACACAATCATGCGAGAGTACACACGGGTGAGAAATTATTTGTTTGTGAAACCTGTGGTAAAGCCTTTAGTTCGAAAAGTAATCTGCGCCAACATGACATGGTACACTCCGGTGAGAAACCATTTGTTTGTGAAACCTGTGGTAAAGCCTTCACTGATAAACACAGTCTACGCATACATGACAGGGTACACACTGGTGAGAAACCATTTGTTTGTGAGACATGTGGTAAAGCCTTTACTGACAAAAGTACTCTAGGCAGTCATAATAGGGTGCACACCGGCGAGACACCATTTGTTTGTGAAACCTGTGGTAAAGCCTTTACACAGCAAGCTAATCTACGCCAACATCACAGGGTACACAACGGCAAGAAACCATTTGTTTGTGAGACCTGTGGTGAAGCCTTTTCTACACGATGTGATTTAAACAGACACAACAGGGTGCACACTGGTGAGAAACCATTTGTTTGTGAGACCTGTGGAAAAGCTTTTACTCGGCAAGGTCATCTTCAAGCACATACCGTTGTACACACTGGTGAGAAACCATTTGTTTGTGAGACATGTGGTAAAGCCTTTTCTGACAAAAGTACTCTAGGCAGTCATAATAGGGTCCACACTGGCGAGAAACCATTTGTTTGTGAGACCTGTGGTAAAGCTTTTACAAGTCATGGTTATCTACGCATACATGACAGGGTGCACACTGGTGAGAAACCGTACGTTTGTGAGACCTGTGGAAAAGCCTTTACACGGAAAGGTATCCTACACAATCATGCGAGAGTACACACGGGTGAGAAACCATTTGTTTGTGAATCCTTTCATAAGAAATGTAGTCTTCTATTACATGACAGAGTGCACACAGTTGAGGATACCACTTCTTTAAGGCCCCTTTCTCACAGGGCTGCGACCTTTGTACCACCTATGAGCGACCAAACTATTGCCAGGATGCTCAATGATCGCCTAAACCCAGAAAATCCTGTTTCTATGTAACTGCTCCAGCAATCCTTGTGTGCCTCCCTTGAACCACCAAAAATGCAAATTTCGGGCATTTCCATGTCGAGCTACGAGCGACCTGTGGGTCCACTGAGCCACTTGCCTGCCTCCCCTGTGCTTCCCTTGTGCAACCAACGGCAACCAACGCGATTATAGGCAACATAGGCGACCCCCGAGCAATGTTTGGGCAACCATTGAGCCTCCTCTGTGCCTCCTCTGTGCCTCCTCAGTGCCATCATCGGCGACCAACAGCAACTAACGGCGATCATTGGTCGACCATTTGGCCATGCTTCTGCCTCCTAGGCGACCCTTGAGGCACAAGGGAGGCAGAAGCATCGCCCAGATTGACGGTAAAATTTGCAATAGAACGGATCTATGACGTGGCGACCATTGGCCGACCATTAGTGCATCCATTCTGCAACCATGGCAATGCTTGTGCCTCCCTTCTGCCTCATTTGAGCCACCTTTGAGCAACCAACCTCCTCGGCGACCTTTGTGCGACTGTTTTGAAAAAAAAATGTTCAAAAATTTACGGCGATCATAGCGTCCATGGCGATGTCTGAACATCCCGTGTGCCACCTTTGAACGACCTAGGCATCCATTCAGCCTCATTTGAGCCTCCAACGGCGACCTGGCCAGTTTTATGGTCGCACAAGGGAGGCCCAAAGGTCACAGCCCAGTGTAAAGGGGGTCTAAGAGACCTGTGGTAAAGCATGTGCAAAGCAAATTATGCTACGCCAACAAGACAGGATACACAGTGATGAGAAAGCAGTTAGTTATGAGACCTGTGGTAAAGCAATGATACGTCAAATTAGTCTACGCAAACATGACAGGGTGCACACTGATGAGAAATTGTTTGTCAGACCTGTGGTAAACAAACGAGCCTTTACACATTATGGTTTACACATGCTCAGACATGAATGAAAGCACATCGGTGTAATACATGTATGCCTATGACATGAATGTTTCTTTGGAAATACATTCCATGAAACAACTTGATGTTTGTTTTTGGTTAATGTTATTGGAAAGTGCAATTTTTTTAACATTAAAATCAGTCCATGTTTTTGCGACAACTGAGGTCGATCTTACTGTAATGAAAATTGAGGTGACACTTCAGTTTTAGCCCCCCCCCCAAAAAAAATACTCGGTCTCTGGTCAGCGTCGATTGTAATCATGCGCGTCAACCTTTTTTTTCTTCAAATTAACACGGAAGCTACAACAGTGCCCTCTATTGCCGCATCTCCTCAAATTTTTGTACCATGGAGCACCAAGGAATGGGGAAATTGCACCAAGGCAAATGATAAAGGGCACTAAGGCAAATTATGGAGGACACCAATGTACATGAGGACACAAAAAAAGCAAAATAGTACACACCTTGTTTGTACAATTCAAGCTTGAAAAAAATAAAGCCACCCAAATAAAAAAAACCTGCGTCACCGCATCAGTTCCTGAACTTCGGTCTGACCAGAGACCGAGTATTTTTTTTTGTGGCCTTATAGGGGTTTTCTTTCCAAATTGAATGCCCAAAAGTAAGTAAAATTTTGCTTTTTGGCCCACTGTCCTGTACTCAAACAACAACAAATGACTAAAAGAAGAAAATTTACTACAGACATGAACACCAAAATATAAGACTAGGTTTTGGCCTGAAATGACATCACACTTTTGCACAGGAGTATGCAAAAGCAATAAGCAAAAAGCCACAAAAAGGCACTAAAAAACACTAAAAGGCACCAAATGCCCCTTAAAATGGCAAAATAAAAATTGAAAACCAGAGGGTTGTGTTTGTTGAGTTACACACCCAGGGTGGTCAGGCAGGCATGTAATTTATTAAACACTGCCCAGTTAGGTTATGAATATACATCATATTGTGCTTTGCCCTTCACCGACATGTAAATATTGAATATTCCTATTTGTCGAGCTCTGCTTTTTGGGCATCTTCTTCCTTCAATTAAAAAGTGTATAAATATTTTATTTGTAAAAACAGTATTAATTTTTAATATCTCAAATTATGTATTTATGCCTTGTCATGTAATATGTGATCACAATGAGATGTACAAATAATAAAGAGTAAATGATTAGTTTTGAAATTAATATCCAAGTCTTTCGTAATTTATTGTACGTATCGTACGTTTTCATTTGTAGTTTTTTGTACATGGTGTTGTATATTTTTTAACACCCCCTGGTATACAGGGGAGGGGAGGGGGGTAAAAAAAAATCAGGGCTGTCAAATTATTGGTTTTGTTAATAGAAATTCATTAAAAGTAATGCGAATTTCCGCCCCCCCCCCAAAAAAAAATAACAAAATTAAAAAAACAATTCTTGTGAGGCGAAGTAAAAAAAAAATGTTGAGCATCCGTGTCCACTTTCCTTTTGGAGGCCACCTCCCTGTCTTTTTTTTTCTATTTTTAAACCCAAAAATTGATAAATTGGCAAAGATTTGCTGACGACCCCCCCCCCCCCCCCCCCCCCCAGCGCCACTGCAAACATTACTGGATCTGCCCCTTCACCCCCCCCCCCCCCTTACCACGTTCGTTAAACTCGGGCAATAATATCCGCAAACAAAAGGTTTGATTTTATAAGACCCCATAAGTATTTTCATATTTTTGATGTTTGTTGGTGGTATTGCGCATGCTTATGCATAGATAATTCGGGGAGGAACCGGTCACGTGAGAGGGTTTAACCAATAAAAGGGAAAAAAAGTCCAATTTTCATACGAGTCTGAAGACATCAAATTACGTTTACCCGGTAACATCATAAATTGGTACGTTTGGCGTTCCATAGTGGTCCGGTACGTCCGTGCGTATAGACCGCTTGCAGACGCGTTCGATAATTGACGCGCGAAGGAGTGCGACGCCATGTTGTGGGACAAAATGTGCATGGATAGATATACGCTTGTCCCACAACATGGCGTCGCGCGCCTTCGCGCGTTGATTATCGAACGCGTCTGCAAGCGGTCTATTTTGGTTTGGTGACTTCCTGTGCTAGCTGTCCCCGTATGCCAGTACGGCAAAATTAAGTTATTCAAGGTGAGTGTCATGACATGATTAACCATTTTATATTATTTTAGAAAATGCAAATGATATGCACACTTTGAGCTATTGTATTTGGTTAGTCGTCATGGTCGTGTAGTTTAGGATACAGACTAAATATGTTTGTTCTGTTTGTAAGCTTAATTGCTCTTTGTTGTCATGTCATCATGGTCATGTGATTGTTGGTCTAGCTGGTGTGGTACTACTGGTATAGCCCCACTAGTGTGGCCGGCGGTATGCTAAGTCAGCGCAGCATACCGACGGCCACACTAGTGGGGCTAGTACTGGTAGTACTGTGGTAGGTAATTCTGTCGAGCTGTCCCCCCTGGTAAATGTGTCCCCCCAGACAAATTAACCGGCTCGTGACCCAGTAAATCTGTCCGGGGGAACACTTTTACCTAGGTAAATCTGTCCCCCTCCCTGGCCCTGGTAAATATGTCCCCCTAGCCCCATAAATGTGGCCTATTTACTGGACTGCCTCCGTAAACATAGGCCACACTAGCCCCATAAATGTGGCCAGTTTACTGGACTGCCTCTGTAAACATAGACGGAGGCAGTCCAGTAAACTGGCCACATTCATGCAAATTATGGGGCTAAGGCCACACATGCACATTGTGTACAAAAACATGTCGCACTTTGCCAAATTTTGATTTTCACATTGAGGCTTACTTTGTAGGGTTTTTTTGCTTTAGAAGCATACTCACCCTCTTGATAGGCTAATCAGAAAGAGCTGCCTTTTTCAGATGTCCATTTTTCGTGAAATTTCCAGATACATTTGCACACGTTTGCGTGTCAATATTTCAACATGAAATTTCACAAAAATTAGACATCTGAAAAAGGCAGCACTTTCTGATTAGCCTATAAAGAGGGTGAAAATGCTTCTAAAGCAAAAAAAAACCCTTCAAAATAAGCCTAAATGTGAAAATCAAAATTGGCAAAGTGCGACACGTTTTTGTACATGTGGATGTGTGGCCTATGTAAATAGGCCACATTTATGGGGCTAATGTCCCCCCTGCCCAACGTTGAAAGTGTCCCCCTGATAAATGTGACCCTGTGCAAGTATCGCCCATGCGATGATACGAGTCGTGTTCGTGAGCATGCACGCATCGCCACAAGATTTGTGGCAGCATTTATCGCATGTGTATATAATGTGTATCCCGCTACATGAAGGAAATTCATCCAATAGGAAATTTCGTTATTTCATCCAGTAGGAAATTTCGTTATGCACTACGATGGGAAGGCAGACCAATCCAAGTCATGCAAGTAGGCGTTATATCAATGAGGCGTCCACCGTATAGGGCTACTGTCATGACTGTATATAGTGCATGACCTTGTGCTGTATTTAACTATTTTCACCGTACTCCGAATCAATCAAAACACTGTTTTCACATTTCACATCTAAGAAAGAGACCAAAAAGTAAAAAATGTATAACTTGTAGAGTGAATTCATCAAAACAATAAAGAGAACTGGCCTTCTGCATTGCAAAACTAGGGGGACAACAAAACCTGGAGGGGACAGAATTAACGGGCCGGGGAGGACACTTTTAGCTAGGTAATTCTGTGCCCCCCCCCCCCCCCCCCGGACACTTTTAACGGGGGACAGAATTACCGTCCACACCAGCCGGTGAATTTTCTTTTCCCTGATAATTGCTCGCCACGGCACTGGCCCTGCAAAGAGGGCGCTGGCCAGTACTAGCGCTAGCCTGCCTGGGAAGGGCTGATGAGCTTCACAGAACAGAGTCTTGTGAAGGAAGTGGGATGGCAGTGGAAGTAACTAGACTGCAGTTACCCAATGCACACAAATGCTATCCGAAAACTTTCTCATGTGCACACATTCCATACTGGATTGTGATTTCTTTCCGGACCATATGTGGACAATTTTGAGCTTCACATAATGCATTCATGCATGACCGTTCATGAATTTTAAAGGGAGCCTGAGCAAGTGACACTGAAAATTTACAGCACAGATAAGTTTACAGATTTTCATATATTATTAGCTTTTCAACGGAAAAAAGCATTTGTTAATTAGAATAAAAGAGTAATTACTCTGTCTTAATGGCCATTTGAAAACTTGCAGGGTAGTGGTTGTGATGACTTGCAGGTCAAAGGTCACGCAAAATCTATCCAATAAGAGTGTAAATTCATCAGCCCTTCCCAGCATCCTGTTTGTTCGCCCTGCAAACTTTGCAGGGCGGGGGGTAAAAGCAAATTCCCTGACTACAATATAGGCCTACAACCAAAAAGAGCATCCTCTGCCATACTTTTGTGATACGTATGTACGGCAGGTATATTATTTTTTCTCAGGACTTTATTTGTGAAATTGAGTACGCACTTTGAGCTAATATTGTTTTCGGGTAGTCGTGTAGTTTAGGACACCAACTTAGCTCTACTGTGGAGCGCTGGAACTACCGGTACAGTCCAGACTGGGACCGTGAGTGCATGAAAACATGCAAAATTACTACTGACGTTTTTTTACTCGCCATTTGGCTAATAATGCCCACACAACACATACCAAAATGCTATAGTTGCAAGCATGTGACCTACGAAATTTGAGACCTTAAATCCAATTTTAAGGCAGGTTTTTGGCAGTTCAAAAACCATCCACGTCATTCTCTATGATCTAGAAATGTGAGTGTGATTCACAAAGTATTCTGGGTAGTTGCACGGTATGGATACCTTAAACTTTTGGGACTCTCATACGCAGTATTTAGACTCCCAATTTTTCAGACTACGTACAGTCATGACGGTACCTTAACCCTCCATAATAACGCTCCTCCGAATAGTCATACTTTGACTAGCAGGGCCTACACATTTATATTACTAACACACGGTATGCATTTTTTTCTTGTATACCCTGGAGGACAAAATGCCCCAAGCAGCTGGTAAAGACAATACGAATGAGAAAGACAGCCACCCTGGATAGATCTTCACATTCAGACATTTATTCCATAAAACCCCTTAAATTGTTCCTAGCAAGTGGTAATTCTGAAAAAAGAAATAATTTTTCTTATGTTGAAGTAAATGGAATTAACCGAGTGGCGACTCCGCTCCTGTGGAGGCGTGATAACCCCACGTTCTCCAGCCAGCTAGCTCGGCCGGTGCTACCTCATTAAAGCGAAATGAGAAGCGCCTTCAAAGGACCCTGAGTTGGCGAAGATCCATTGTAGCAAGATCAAGGCTCAAAAAAGAAGCGGGTCTTGTCAGAATCGCAGTGGTACATTCCACATCATGTCGTGCATCAGAATGACAAGTCCCGCCTAGTTTTCAACTGTGCCTTTCCCTACCAGGGTGAATCACTGAACGACAACCACCTACCGGGTCCCATCCTTGGATCATCATTAATAGGTGTTCTGCTTGGATTTCGAAAGCACTTGGTAGCCATAACTGGAGATATCAAGGCGATGTTCCATTGTGTGTCCACATTGGAAACAGACCAATCCATGCTTCTGTGACAGCTCATTTACATATTTCTCCTGCGCAGCGCCCTCGCTTGACCCTTAAGGTAAAGCTCTCACTTAGCCAATTGTCTTGAGTGAGTCATTCCACCACTAGCACTGGTACTGTAAACACCACACAGTGTCCTGCCACTTCTACACATGTTCTTAGTTAATGCCTCAAGATTTTGTGGATGACTCGACTGGGGTAAGAATTCATTTATATTGTTTTAATAGTTGTTCTTATTGCTGAAGTTCCTAAGTTTCTTTTTATTGAGACTTTGTGAACACTTTTTGATTAATTCTGAAGTTAGCTGGAGTATTCTTAAACTTTACTCTGATTACTGAATTTAAAGTGGATTCATTCTTTGATGGTCCTTAGGAAGCCCAGATGCACTGTGTTGTTGTATTTATTATTGCATATTTGGGAAAGATCATCCTTTTGATGACTTTCTGTGTTTAGAAATATAATCTATTTCCATGGATTTGAAGGATTTAGATTTCCCTAACTTTGATTACATGTACATGTATATCCACTTTATTTCTTGTTCACATTTAGTTAACTTCTTGAGTACACAAAGTTCAAGAATAGATTTCCTTATTTTACAATATATTCCTCATCATCTATTTTCCACTTTTTTATGAACATATTCTTAGATTTATACTTTTAGTGTATAAATTCATAGTTCCTTTGTCCTGTGTAGATGTCCATAGTGCAGTGTAGTATAGCCACTGTTTAGACCCTTAATCCCCTAAGTTGCTGCATATATAATGAGGTGCACACAGTTTCTTGGAAGACACCATACCTTAGTACAGGGAGGCAGGAAGTCTGCCAAGTATGTTTATTACCCTGCAGAGATTTCTTTTGTCCAGTGTTTATTGGAGCGTGTGACCTAAGATACCAGTAGTGTCTTATTAGACTGGCACACTAGTCCTTACGTTTATGTGATGCAGCATATATTACTCATATTTTTCTTTTTACACTTAATTAAGCATGCCATCTGCATATTTGTTTAGCATTTATTTAGTTATGTTATTTCTCCATAGTCCTTTTTTGTGATACTAATTCACTTTTCCTAAGTTAGTTTCTTTATGGATCCTTAGGTTATAATGATGAGTGGACTGATTTAAGTCTATGGTTTGCTGAGTCCATAGTCATATATATTTAGAGGACATTGCACATTTGCTTTAGTTATTTCCTATTTTGTCTTTGCAAGTTAAAGCATTCACATGCCTTGTATTAATTCATTTTGGAATTTAACTTGACTTTTCAGTTAGAAGCAAATTGTGTTATTGAAATAGATTTATCTCTATTGATTGCATTATAATCCTTGCTGATTATTATTTGTTCTTTTTATAATTTACTTTGCTGGATTGGTATTTCCTAAAGCATTGTATTTATATGGAATTTCTATTTTGTATCTTTTCAGGGTTTTGTTTTGTTTGTGTAAGATGCAGTTCACCATTAAATGAACCAGACACAGTAAATGTACACCATCCTTGTCGTGTCACATTTTCCAGTGTCACATTTGGCGTCGTAGACAGGATGGTGTACTAATACTGCATCTACCCCCAGTCGAGGATGAAGTGAAACTAACGGCAGACAACTGACCCCGAGACGAGCTGCTACAGTTATCAAGAATGGAGGGAATGGAGCAACTGCGGGCCGAGCTTGAGGCGATGAAGGTAGCTCTTCAGGCGGAGAAGGAGGAGCGTGAGAAAGCCACAGCAGGCGTCAGCTCCACTACCCCACCAGCGAAGCAAATATACGTAGCGGCAGGGAGACGGCTGGACCGCTTCAGGGGAAAGCCGGAGAAACCGAGTGATCCATCTGTCCAAGAGTGGGTCAGTGACGTCAAGGGTCAGTTGACTGCACGACAGATCGGAGGGGAGGACGGTGCTGCGTTTATCATCGACCATCTTGCCAGCAGAGCTAGGCAAGAAATCCTTGGCAGAGGTGACACCGTAAAGAGTCCAGAGGAAATCTACCGTGTACTGCTGAAAGTCTTTGGTGATGGTGAGACGCTTCCCCAGATCCAGCAAAAGTTTTTCTCCTTCCGACAAGGCCAAGGAGAAGATCTACTGAGTTTCTCCCTCGAGCTCATGGAATTGTTTAATTCCATGGCTCGCCTGGATGTCTCCTTCAATGCTACAAGAGATAAAACGCTGAAGGGAAGACTAGCCGAGGCAGTTTATGATGAGGGTCTACGGAGAGAACTGCGGCGCATGAACATCGATTCGCCAGAGCTGAGTTTCTTCGATGCCAGAGACCGTGCCATCGAGTGGCTTGGCACCAGCCGTGTCAAAGCCCAGAAGGCAGTAGCAGTACAGGAGGTCAAGGCTGAAGACGGGGCACATGGCATGAAGGCACTTCTTGAGAGGCAGGGTGAACAACTGCAGCGGCAACAGCAGCAGATTGAAGCACTCTTACAGGCCATGCAACGACCTGCTCGCCGTTGGAGTCAGGGTCCTAGACGTTGCTACAATTGCCAGTCCACAGGTCATCTAAAGCGAGACTGCCATGGCCCGTCATCCCCGTCGTCAGGAGGAACGAGTCAGGGTACCAGGGATCCCCAGCAGTTTGTCCCCCAGCAGTCTATGGCACAGCACTTTGTCCCCCAGCAGTCCGCGGCCCAACAGTTCGTTCCTCAGCAGTCCCCAGTACAGCAGTTTGTCCCCCAGCAGTCCCCAGCACAGCAGTTTGTCCCCCAGAAGCCTGGCCCTCAGTTAAACTAGAACGGCCTGTCATTGAGAGCCACACGGCAGGCCCACAAGAATCAACTAATAGCGGCTCAATCTACAGAAAAGCGGTAGGGCAGTGTCCAGAATCTGTCGTCCAGCTTGGTGCATCAAGGGTGCGGTGTCTACTTGACACAGGAGCGCAAGTTTCAACAATTACTGAATCTTTCTTCAGAGAACACTTTCCTGAGACAGAATTAGTAGATGTGACTGCGTTCATCAGCATCTCCGGTGCTCAAGGTCTGGCCATTCCCTACCTCGGCTATGTTGAATTGCCACTAACAGTGCTGGGCCACTCTTTCATCAACATGGGTTTTCTGGTGGTCAAGGACCCTACAGGCACATCAATTGCAGAGAGGAAGAAGAGAGTACCAGGAGTGATTGGGTCAAACATCTTCAGGGTCATCCGAGAGAAGTTATGGCAAGATGCAAGCGGCCAAAACTACCTGGAGGTTTTGAACAGACGAAGTGACGGACCTGAATGGGCTCATGTACTCGCTCTCTATGAGGAAGTGCGAAGTGGCACTGTACATCAGCCAGATATTGCAGGTAAAGTCCGAACAGTGGGTTCCAAGCCCATCCTAGTCCCCGCCAACTCTCTCCTTCTGATGGAATGTTCAGTGAAACCTGCTGCAACTGATGTGACTTACGAGGCCATAATAGAACAGCTGGATGTAGATGTGACCCACATACCAAATGGGTTAGCTGTAGCTCCTACACTAGTCTCCGTCGACAGCAGTGGTAGAATACCGGTTCAAGTTGCAAACTTCACGAATGATGACCTCTATTTACCCACGAGAACCCCAGTAGCCACAGTGAGCAGTGCGGTCGCCGAACATCACAGCAGAGCTTTTGAAGCAACTTGGCAGGAAATGCAGGCAGGTGAAGTTAAAAACGACTGCGCTGATGAAGCCAGGAGCCTGATGTCACGGATGAAAGTCGGTACTGGGCTAAGTGACGATCAGCAACATCAACTCCACCAACTAATTTCCAGCCATGCCAGCACATTTAGCAAAGATGAAGACGACATCGGACTCTGTGACAAAATACCTCATGCTATCAACACTACTGACGATGTTCCAGTTCGAGTACCTCACCGGCGCATACCTCCTCACCAATGGGCTGAAGTTCGAGAATACCTGCAGAAATCTCTCGAAAGGGGCGTGATCAGGGAGTCATCCAGTCCGTATGCTTCACCGATCGTACTCGTGAGGAAGCGAGATGGAAAGCTGAGGCTTTGTGTTGATTACAGGGCCCTGAATGCCAAGACTCACAGAGATGCCTATCCACTTCCCCGCATCGACGAAGCCCTCGATGCACTTGGTGGAGCAAAGTTCTTTTGCAGCCTGGATCTCGCCCATGGGTTCCATCAAATTCCCGTTGCTGCAAAAGATGTTGAGAAGACAGCATTCCGAGTAGGGACTGGAGGTCTGTACGAGTTCACCCGTATGCCCTTCGGCCTCTGCAATGCGCCAGCCACATTCATGCGCTTGATGGACAAAGCATTCGGTGACAAAAACTTCCAGTCTCTCATCGTCTACTTAGATGACATCTTAGTCTTTGGACGTACCTTCGAGGAGACGCTTGAACGACTACGGTTAGTGCTGGACCGCCTCACTGAATTTGGCTTGAAGGTTAAACCAGAGAAGTGCAACCTGTTCACGGAACAACTGAAGTACTTGGGCCATTCCATATCTGATGGAGGGATATCTCCAGATCCTGAGAAGATCAGCGCGGTGAGAGAATGGAAGAAGCCAGCTACAGAACGTGAACTCCGTGGGTTTCTTGGTCTAGCTGGGTACTACCGCCGTTTCGTACCGGGGTTTGCTAAAGTCGCGGCTCCACTCCACGCACTCTTAGGAGGAACAGGGAAGAAGAAGCACAGAAAGGTCAGTCCCACCAAACCCATATCAGATGCATGGGATGAGTCTTGTGACAAGTCTTTCACTGACTTGAAGCAACTTCTGACGTCTGCTCCCCTCCTAGGCTACCCTGATTTCTCTCGTCAATTCATCCTGGAGGTTGATGCTAGCTACCAAGGTCTGGGTGCAGTTTTGTCCCAACAACAAGAGCAAGGTTTGGTAGTCCTGGGTTATGCCAGTAGAGGCTTGAGAGAGAATGAAAGGAACATGCAGAACTACAGTAGCATGAAGCTTGAACTGTTAGCATTGCGTTGGGCAATCACTGTGAAGTTCAGGGACATCCTTCTCGGTGCAAACTTTGTCGTTTACACCGATAATAACCCCCTCAGCTATCTTCAGACGAACACGAAGTTGGGAGCAACAGAGACCAGATGGGCTGGAGAGTTGGAACAGTTCCAGTTCACAATCAAATATAGGTCAGGAAGGAGTAACCGTAATGCCGATGCCCTCAGCAGGAAGACCACTCACAGTGAAGATCTGCAAACTGCCCACTCTGAAGAGATGTCCACTGAAGAGACCATTTCTTCATCTTATGCTTCCACTCCCATCCCCTCCACAGTTGTTTCGCAAGTAAGAGGCACCCTGGTTGAAGCTGGACTAAATGAACTCCGCATCAGACCAGATGTGACAGCACCTGCTGCGATGTCAACCCTTCCCTCCATCTCTACCGGAGACATGGCTACACTACAACGGAACGACAAACACCTAGGCAGATTGTGGACTTACTGGGAGAGTGGACGACAACCACACATCAGTAAGCTCATGAAGGAGGACAAGCCAACGCGGAAATTGCTGAAGTTCTGGAACCACCTGGAGGCCAGAGACAACATTCTCTACAAGAAAAGAAAAGAAGCGAGTGGCGAGATCAGTCAACTTCTACTTCCTCAAGTTCTACGAGAGCAGTTGTTAGCCGCAGTCCATGATCAGGTTGGACATCAAGGAGTAGAAAGGACCCTTGCACTCGCCCGTAGCAGATGTTTCTGGCCAGGGATGATACACGACATCGAAGAGTACTGCCGGAATTGTCAGAGGTGTATGTTGGCCAAAGCTGGGAAGAAGCTCCATCCTACCATGGGTTCCTTAATCGCCAAAAGACCCCTTGAAGTTCTCGCCATAGACTTCACCGTCCTGGAGCCTGGCACAAACAATATAGAAAACGTGCTGGTTCTCACCGATGTCTTTACAAAGTTTACACAAGCCATACCATGCAAGGACCAAAAGGCAAGAACGGTGGCTCTATGCTTAGTGAGAGACTGGTTCGTCCGTTTTGGTGTGCCTCGCAGACTTCACAGTGACCAGGGCAGGAACTTCGAAAGCAAAGTCATCCGGGAACTCTGTGAGATGTACGGTGTCACCAAGAGCCGAACGACGCCTTACCACCCCGAAGGAAATGGGCAGTGCGAGCGTTTTAATCGTACCATGCACGATCGCTTACGCACGCTGCCCCCAGACCAGAAGCGCAGATGGCCAGAACATCTCCCAGAGCTGATCTACGCATACAACGCGACACCCCACTCCTCAACAGGTTACTCCCCCTACTATCTCTTCTTCGGCCGGGAACCGAGATTACCCGTAGACCACCTTCTTGGGTTCGGAAGAGAGGAAGACGACGATCCTGAACTTGACCAGTGGATAGCGGACCATCATGTGCGAATGCAGCAAGCATTTCAGAAAGCTGCAGGCACAACAGAGAAGGAGGCTCTCAGAAGACAGCAACGCCACAATGAGGCAGCGAGAGATGAGGATCTCCATGTTAGAGCAAGGGTCTTTCTTCGAAACCGTTCCGTCAAGGGGAGAAACAAGATCCAAGATGTGTGGGACAACCGACCTCACAAAGTTTTGGGGAGGCCGAACCCTACCGGCCACGTCTACATCGTTACTCCACTTGACGGAGAGGGAAAGGAGAAGACCCTGAATCGAAAGGACCTCCTAGACAGCAGAGCCTTGGTGCTGGATGAGGATGAACCTCCAGCTACTGGATGTCGTCATCAAGATGACCCAGTTTTGCCAGCGCACACTGACAAAGATGAGGAGGCAGAAGAGGAGGCAGATGAGGTGGTCATCATATTGGAGACAGAAGGTGAGACTCCGGCGATGCCAACAGGTCAACCAGAGCCAGAGAGTGCACCTGCTGCTTTTCACAAAGCAGGGGAGCACCAGCCCGAGGACCAAGCCCCTCAATCTTCAGATGTGCAAGATCCGGAGAGAGCACCCTCTGCTTTACACAAAGCAGGGGAGCACCACCCTGACAATCTAGCCCCGCAACCCCCATCAGAAGTGGAAGATTCTTCACCGGAACCCACTACAGAGGAGGAGGTCCCACTTGCCAAAGCGGAGCAGTTGCGCCACACCAGCCGTGCTGGAGCGGGACAACACTCCAATCTCCATCACCTCCCGAAGTCCGTCATCCAGTCGGAGACTCCAGCAATGCCTGTCCCTGCACCTGCGATAGACCCACGTGTACTAGCAGACATCAGCCGAACGCAGCTGCTGTTGGCACAGATGTTGGCCGGAGTCCAGCCAAGATGATTTTTTTTTGTAAATAGTTAATTGTACTTTGTTTTTTGGTATTAATCTTTTATCTGTTTAGGTTGTCGGGACGCCAACCTTAGAGCAGGGGAGTATGTGACAGCTCATTTACATATTTCTCCTGCGCAGCGCCCTCGCTTGACCCTTAAGGTAAAGCTCTCACTTAGCCAATTGTCTTGAGTGAGTCATTCCACCACTAGCACTGGTACTGTAAACACCACACAGTGTCCTGCCACTTCTACACATGTTCTTAGTTAATGCCTCAAGATTTTGTGGATGACTCGACTGGGGTAAGAATTCATTTATATTGTTTTAATAGTTGTTCTTATTGCTGAAGTTCCTAAGTTTCTTTTTATTGAGACTTTGTGAACACTTTTTGATTAATTCTGAAGTTAGCTGGAGTATTCTTAAACTTTACTCTGATTACTGAATTTAAAGTGGATTCATTCTTTGATGGTCCTTAGGAAGCCCAGATGCACTGTGTTGTTGTATTTATTATTGCATATTTGGGAAAGATCATCCTTTTGATGACTTTCTGTGTTTAGA